GGAATGCAATCTGAGCCACATGACATGATGGCCAAGAAAACTGCTTCAGAACAGCAGTGATGACCACACACAACTCAGAAACACGTGTTTTCCAGCCGGCCTCCACTTCTCGGTCACGCAGCGACAGCGACCTTTGTTTACGCCAGATGTTTTTGTCTCACGCAAGTGTTCTGGAGAGATTGTTTCTACGGAGTTAAAGCGTGCCTGGACCCAGCCCCCGATTGGGGATGCTGTTGATCAACTGGAGGCCCTTTACCACGAGTCTGCACATCTTCTAAATCTTAAGTTTTGAGCCCATGAAGTCGAAGACCTCTAGAAACGACTCTGAATTACGAAGCACCGTCGTGCTTGAGGCCCAATCTCTAAACTAGCCCTTGTCTGAGGAGGACAGGCCGATTGAAGTGAAGTAGTATGGCGGGAAATCGATGAGCTGACCTCCTCTGCAATGGTTCACGTCTGCAAGCACCCGGCAAGCCCCAACCCGAATTGGGCATCTGGTTTAGCAATCCCTCAAATCCACACACAACCTCTTTGTGGTGCACTTTCCTGACATGAAAACGTCAGCCAGCTGTGATTTGTAGACTTATCACTAAGGGTTCCCTAGCAAACAACAAGCTTACGTCAGGCAGATGCACAGTAGTCTTTGGTTCTCTGAGCATAGGGTTTAAGTTTAGGGTCTGAGTCTACGGTGTAGAATTTAGAGTTTAGGGTTTGTGGTTCAGGGTTTTAAGTTTAAGCCGCTACAACTCAACGGAAAGTGTATCTTGCCGTCCCACCCGCACTACTTCGGCAAACTTTGGTATAGAACATTCACTAATCCAAAAGATTCAGTACAGTGTTGAGCTGCAAGGTACTCGACACATGGAAAGTACAACTCAAGGGCGAATCTATCTTGCCGTCCGACCAACACGACTGAGGTACTCGACGTGGAGGTTATGAAGCTACTGAGTGGATGAGGGTTTGGGAGTTGGGGATTGAGGACCGCGGTGTAAGGGCTAAAGCACAGACTTACCTACATATGAACGGTACGATGTATCAGCTGACTTCGCCATAGAAAGGTCACCAAAAAATTACGCAGTGGACCATCTTGTAAACCCCAAACCCTTAACCCCAAAGATTGACTTCCCTCTGAGACATCCAACCGACCAAGCACCAAGAACCTCACCTGGCGTGACTGACACCCAGACCCTCTACTACACCCTAGACCTCAGGCGCTGGGTGCCAAGCAGTCACCCTGCATTGAGTAAAATCCAAGGTCCCGGCAACCTGTGTCGATGAGGCCGGATCCTGGCAGCGAAAGGAGGAATCCAGAAAAGCCCGACTGCAAATCACACATCACATCGACAGGGAGCGGTGGGGAGCTTGGGTTTCGCACTCCTAGCAAGCAGGTGTACTTGGCGGCCCAGGCCCAGGAGCAAAGTTTGCTGTTCTCCCAGAATGATAATCAAGCAACCGCTGTGGATCTTACTATGATATTACCCCTTTAATGCTTGAGCATATGTCGAAAACACTGCCTCCCTTGCGGCATGGCCTTGCTCCAGCTGCCAGAGCACCTGCGAGGCATCACATTGCATGATTGGCTCAAAATGTTTGCAATCTGTGCAGCATGCAAATCTCTCGCAGCAACAATCCCCTTCTTGAGGTCACCGGAGCGTGTGGCTTCAGAAACACACACCCCCGGTTTTGCAAGTATCTTGCAAGATCTTGCAAGGATCAAGAAATTCACCCTAAAGCCGGAACTCACCCTTTTCCACAGGCTTGAACTGACCCTAAAGCTGAAAGTCGGCTTTCCGAAAGCACCCCTCGGTCTTGCAAGAATCTTGCAAAGATCAAAAAACTCACCCTAAAGTTGGAATTGGAAGTCGCCTGGAAGCTTTAGCTGGCCCCTGGCTTCAGCAAGGACCCTCGCTTCTGAATGTCAAAGTCAGGCTTAGTCTTTCATTCAATTTATGGCAAGAAGGAAATCCATTTTTCGAGCAAGTTCAAAGTGGGGCCACGCCGACATCCTAAGCCCTGCAAAATATCACCCTTTAGGGGCACGGGATGGCGTGTCTGTCACCAATTAAAAATAACCTAAACCTTAGTGACATTGTGGTCTAGGACGAATCCTGAACAAACGACAACTACGGGCAGACGCGCCATCCCGTGTGATACCACGGATTGCGGCTTTCCTCTGCACCCTCACCCTCTGCACGGCTGACCCGTCACTGTAGGCACTGTGGCTATGCCCGGGCCCACGGGTGGATGCCCTCACCATCGGGATACGACTCTGAAGGTCAATTGGGGTGGTGGCCTACTCCCTTGCGCTGTGGCGGCACCCGGCAAGGAGGCTTGTCCGGAAGCTTGTCCTTCACCTGGTGCAGCTTGTCATCCAAGCCTCCCAGCATCTCTGTTAGCTGGGCAAAGTGGGTCTCCTGCTCCTTCACAAGCTCCTCCAGCGAAAGAACGTTGTCCAACACTCTGCCGAGACCCGGTGAGTCCAGGGGCGGCTTACTGAAGACAGCTGTCAACTGAGCCATCGTCGAGGACGTGCTGTCTGCGTTGTTTGCCTGGTGGACTCCTCGGTGCAGCCCTTGAGCAGTCCATGGCTCGTCTGGTGCAGCTGCTTGGCTTGCCCTTTCAGCACCGCCAGCTTCTCCGTGATAGAGGTGGTCTTGTTGCGAACACCAGCTCTACCTGTTCCAGATGCTCCTTGTTGCGGTCCCCCATAAACTTCAGCGTGCTGAGCAAGTCAACTAGTTCCTGGTGGGCTCCCAAGCTCGTCCCGAGCTTCTCACACCACAGCTCCACTTCGGCCAACTGAACACGAGTCTCCTCCAGGCTCTTGTCGGTCACCGTCACCATTGTTTCTTGCCGTGTGGCAAGGCTGTCTTGGATGGGCTTGAGGTTGGGGTTGGTCTGGTCCATGTCTCCAAGTTGCCTCGTGATCCCTGCCAGGGATGTGTCCAAGGTGTCCCGGAGTGCTCGCATAAGTTTAGCAGAGGGCTTCAGAGCTTCTTTGAGTTGTTCCACAAAGCTCGTGGCTCCACCAGACACAAGAGTCCCTTGCGTTCCTGAGCCCGCCGCGCCATCCAGGACTTGGTTGACTGCAGACGACAGGGCCACGTGAGCACGCACCAAGTCTTCCAGCTCTGTCTGAAAACTTTACAGCATCTTGAAGTTGTTGCCCATCATGTCACCCATCATGTCACATGTGTGTTGCGACGTCAGGCATACGCTTCGAATATCATCACAGCACAGAAAGAACTGGGCCTGCATAGCAGACAAGTCCTTGATGGCCCGGAAAATATCCTCAAGGTTCTCAGGCAAAGAACCTTCAGTTGTCGGTGCTGCATCACGTCGTGACTGGGTGTAGGCCACGGCATCCTGCATCCCTGCTGTCATAGCATCAACCTGCGTTTGCAGTTGGCTAACCACAAGCAGACAGAACACGGCTCAAGGTGCGCCGCATCGTGAACATGTGAAAGATCATGATAAGCCACACCATCAAAACCAGCATCGCAACAGGCAGAGCAGTCGGGTCAGCGTAGCCCCCACTTACAGCACTTATGGCTGGAGCAACGGTTGTCACGACCGACTTCCCTCCGATCTCCATGGCTTCTGCGTACAAAGTTGCAGAACACGCTATGAATCAAGGACAGAGATGATACTTGTTGTCCTGATCAAAAGGCTGCAGAGGTTGCTTGATTGGGTTTACGCTCTCACAACTCGGCATGGGTTTAGGGTTTAGGGGTTTAGGTTTTGACTGCATAGTAGGGGGGGCACATGCCGCTCAATCTTAGGAGGGCAAACACATAAGCCAGAACACCGCTGAGCCAGGAGGAGTACGTACGCTTGTCGAGGATCGTGTAGTGGTAATTGTCGATAGGCTCCTCCGTGGCCATGTCCCCAAACTTTGAGTGGTCTGTCGTGGTCGTGTTCGAGGCATGCCAGTATGGATGGTGAAATGGCTGATCGTGCATGATACACGTCGCGTTGTGGCCGCTACGTCTCCAATCTTCACCTCGACGAATCTTGGTTTTGCCATCGCTGCCAGTCTGCTCCAACCACGGTCGACGTCCTCCCAGTCGATGGGGGTGCACCAAAATCGTTTTCGATGCACCGCCGCTCCATCCGCAGCATCGATGATGACGGGATCCGAACGGCTGGATGGTACGACGTTTTCGATGACCGTTTCGATGGGAGTCCCGCGAAATCATTATTTGTCGGAGGGAATGGTCGATTCCCAACATGTTCCAATCTCCGTCGGTGCCCGGCGGGGCTGTTGTCATTCATTCTAGATTCTAGAGAAGTCCGGACAAGGTGGCCCTGCCATGATCACCATGATGAACTGCCAGCAACTCGTCGGATAAGTGCAAACCCCTTGGAACCATTTGTCAGGAAATCGGGGTGCAGATATCGGCAGTTGGTTCGATTTTTGCAATTTTTAGAGCCGAGAAATCGAAGACGCACCTGCGTTCGAGGGTTCTTCAAGTAGATGACTTCGGTAAAACTCACCTCCTCGAGGAACTGCGACAGCAAACTCGGCGGGACAGAATGTCTCAGCGAAAGCTTCAAGACGACCTTCAAAAAGGAACTCAAACCAGGAGTTGCGCTTCGCCGGACTGCCATGACTTCGCAGTAGATCGAGGAAGGAGAAAACAGAAGAAATGTTTCAATTCGAAGCCTATACCAAAAAGGCAGCGGAATGCAACAAGTTCGAAGTGATCGACTCAAGTACATCCACGGAGTCGATCGGTGATGGATGAAAGCAACGGGTTGTCATTTCGCACACACCTGTGCTACACTGCAACATTCGGCCTGGCCTGGCTTGATCTTGCAGTAGGAAAGCACGTCCATAAGCGACTGCACGGTCAAGTTGCTGACTCCAATATGCTTCACTTTGCCACTTTCCTTGCAGCTGGCAGGAACGGAGGTTTGGCATGTCAGAATACATCTGCTTCTGGTTGTTCAACATTTCGCCCGGCAGGCGCAGTGAACCGGGACCCCATCCGTTCCATCTATTTACTGCACACATCTGCCAGCTCTGCACAAAGTCTACGACTACGAGCATAGTAGCCACCAATCAACTGTGGGGCCCTCTGCAACTGTAGCAGACAAAGAGCCTGCAGGGCCTGCATAGCTTCCCAGGTTTCGCCTCAGTTCGTCACTTCAGCCGTTCACGGCAAGGTTCCACGGCTAGCTATGCAAGCCCAGGAAAGGTTGGACCATGGCCGAACCCTGCACATGGAGAGTGCGATGTTACCTTGAGACGCCACAACAACGCGTTTCGGGCTTGTAGCTGACATGTTGATTCAAAACTTCAGGCCACATGTAGAGCACGACGAATTGAACCATTGTGCTGTGTTTTGGGGCTTCGCGTGCCCGGTGTGGTCCAGTATTTCCGAACAGCAAGTGCTTCAAGCCAGACAGATGCCGCAAAGACACGATAGGGCACAGGATCCAAGATCATGTGGCCGGCATTCCCGGGCTTGTCCGTCCACTCTGGCGGGTAGCATCTATCGAACGGCACGAATGCTAGGGAGATTGGGAAGTGGATAAGGTAGAGGTCCAAGTAGTCCTCATGCATGCAGCTTTTGCTTACCCAAGTGTGCCTGTCCCTAGCAACTCTGCACAATTGTGCGACTCGGCCAAGACGCCAATCCTAGATCATCGAGCGTCCTCTGGCACGCCAAGGGAACATTCCTGGAGCTTGTGTGGGATCCAAGCGACACAACAAAGTCGAAGACAAGAAAGCCACTGCCTGCACATGCTTGCATGACTAACCATGGGGTCAGGCTGCTCCCTTCTGTGGTAAGTATTCCACAGTTTCGAGGTGATCCAAAGGTCAGAGCGGTTGCATATGCCTTCCTGGATGGCCCGGCGAATTCCAGCACCTACCTCTTGCTCGTTCCCGTAGTCAGCAGCGCTGTCGATATGTCGATAGCCAACCTTCACAGAGCGGAAGCTAAAGAGTGTTTGAGACGATCCTGAAGTGAGGCGGCAAGCGCATTACCGTATGGCCTTTATCGCATTGTATACAACTTCTTCGGTCACTCCCTTCTCGGCTTTCCAGCAGCCGAGGCCGATCATGGGCATTCCAACCGGCTGCGCCATCGCTGCAGCAGGGCTCTTGTGGCTCTTGACTCTTGAGCACTCACGCCTCCGACTCGGGAAGATGCACTTTCTGCGTTCTGTAGATGGCATCATACGCCTTGTGTTCGTGAAGACGCAAACCTGCCTGAGCAGCGGTCACTGGCTAAGTTGCCGACCACGGGAGCTATTGGGGTCAGAGGAGTTCAACAAACCGTTCTGCACCAGAACCTGCCGCAAGAGATGCTTCTGATCCGGTTTGACTCGCTGCGCTCGACGTACTCCGGCGCACGGTCTCCAGTGGCTCCGAGGAGACGATGTATGCGTCGCTGTCCATCCACACGACGAAATCACAAGTCCTGTGGCAGGCGCAGTGCAGCTTGGGGCTGAGAGGGCACAGAGGGAGATCAAGCCATGATCAAGCCAATCTCCTGTCTTCTAACTCTTGCTGTATGAGGCGCACGATGGACCACTGCACGCGCCTTTCACATCAACGCTGAGCACGCTCATGACAAGATGCTTCTCTGTACGTCGTGCGGACAGCGATATTGATATGAACCAGGAATCCCGGATCTGCCGTGGCCTCGGAGGCTCGAGCCCGTCATGCAGCATCTCGAAGAGGGCCTCGTTGCTGATGTCGGGCCTGCAGAGGCTGCACCGTCTGAACATAGTTGACACCACCGCAACGAGCAAAACCACTCGCTGCAAGACGAAGCACAGCTCTTGCGCAGCAAACATCTGTCGATACTGTGATCGAATTCGAGAGCCTTCCTGATCACTTGAAGTGTGCCTCATGTCAGTACACGGCAAAGCAAATGGAGGATGAAGGCCGCCTGCGAAATCGGTAGCCATGCAATCTTGCGTAGAACCTGGGCCATAGAGACACCCGTTCTTCTTTGTACAGTTGCTTCGCCGGCGGTTCCCACACACTCTGATCACGGAAAGCTTGAGTAGCCGGTCTGCTGTGCCACGACATGGAGCAGCTGCTGTGAGTATGTTGTCTGGTTCCTCTCACACGCAACGAAGTCAGCATGTGCAGCTGCCTGATGACTGCACCGCACCCCTCTGCGACTCTAGGTGGAGAGGTATGGGCGTGGACCTGTTCAAGTGGTAGGTCAAGCTCCAGAACTGAGTAAGTTCGTGGGGGTCCTGCAATGCACGTCACCACGCGAAGCAGAAGTTCTCAAGCAAGTTGCTTCTCGGCCAACTCAGTGTCAAAAACATCTGCGCTGGTGGAGTGTCCCTCTGTTGCGGCGGTCCTTGGCGACTAGTTTGGCCATATTCATCTCCAGTGGCCTGCACGGATTATCGGGATGGATTTGTGGCGGGGATTGCAGACAGTCTTGAGCTTGGCACGGTGCCGAACCCTTGCCACAATTCCCACAACAGAAGGGTTCACGCTTGGTATGTGCACCTGTGCTGGATTTCTGGGCTGTTTGTTAGCTTTCCCCGGCTCTAGAACAAGACCCTTCTGCATAACGATGGGTTGAACTATGGATGACAAACTGACGGCCAGGTGGCGGCAAGCACGCCGGCAATGGTCACAACGAAGAGGCATTATGCTGATATCGCGGAAGGTGGTGTGAGCTTTAGGCGGAACGAAAACGAAAAGAGAGACTGTCAACACGAGCCGATTCTTACAGTCGCAGGTTCACAGTCTACTTAGAAAACTGCCCTCAATCCTTTTCGCGTCCATGTTCTGCAGGTGTTGCATGGCGCGAGCTGTGAGCGCAGGGTGATGCTTCTTTTGCTTGAATATCAAGAACCTAGAATCAAGAACTTTTGCCGAAACCCAAAATAGAAGCTTGCACTAGCTCGCAGCACTGGAAGATATAGGCTTTCGACAGCGCCCCGACTCACTTCTGGCCCGACCTCTCTCTGGATCAAGCCAGGCCCTGCCCCGAACTACGTTCCAATACGGCTGTTTGGCAGTTCGGCTTTTACAGGCAGGTGGCTCACTTCAGGGCGATGGCATGTAAGCAAGCAGAAGGGCCTGTCAGCTGCTACAGCACATCGGCAGTCTCAGCTACACTTGGTGTAAATGCTTCCTACACGGTCTGACGGCGAAGGCAAAGGAAACTAATTATGCTTTATGCATTCACACCGATGGCTGTGGCACTGGTGTTTTGGCAGTTGCCATAGAACAGATAGAACAAAAAGTCGAGACATCCGGACTTGTCAGGCATCACCAGCAACAGGTCTACGTCGTTCTATGAAAACAATCCTCCACTGACTGGAAACTTCTGCATTCTGCCTGAGCCGGCTGTCTATCATGGATCCTGGCAATCCTGATCAACAGAGACTGAGTCAGGATCCCGGGATCCGTTCCTCTGTGCGGATTGGTGCAGGGGAGACAGGTGCTTAAAACTGGCCCTCTGCACGAGGACTTGCTCAGATGGGACAGGTGTGGCAGGTTTTGGCTTGGTTTTCTTCTTTGGAACCCATTCTCAAGAAATCCTTCGTGAAGTTGTCTCACGCCTAGTTTGCTGTCTACTCCCGCCCATCTGCGCACTGTGCCGCGCAAAGCTCGGAGCCTGCCAGGCCAAGCGGACTCTAGTTAAAGGACACGGGGGCGTAAATGAGCGGCAAAGCCGAGGAGGACGAATGACGATTGAGGATGGCCATGATGACGGAAGTGAATATACGACAAACAGCGGACGAACGATCATCATTGCGAACATGGTCATGAGAATGATGTGATGAGATGGTTATGAGTTTAGCCGACTTGGACCGCTACCTCTGTCAGCCTTGTGCCATTACCGTACCTGGATAAAGTTTGACGAATCCGAAGCTGCGTGAGTCCAGACTGCTGCTACGCAGGTTTCGCAGGCGACACGGTTGCACTGAGCAAAACTAGTCTTGTCAGTCAGTCCTGCAGCGAAGCTGTCCGAGCTGTCGGCGCGGAAAATCATTGAGATTTGCCCCTGCATACCTGCCCTCGGGGATGTCGTTCGAGCTGGACAAGTGAGCATATCTTAACGAAACTACTTTCCATACTGTTGACCAAGAAGCTACGTAGCTTGCGATATCTCTGGTTCCTGGAAGTTCCTTGCTTCTGATGTTCTCAAGCTGCGGGAGCAGTAATGAGCAGCGATACTGTCTGTTCTCGGGCTCCAAGATGCTCCAAGTGCTGTGATTGGCATCGTTTTTGTTTGTGGTTTCACTGGCAAGAACACCTGGGGGGATGCTGCAAATACAACAGTGTCCAGCTATTCCAACCAGCGAGCATCGAGCGCTTCACAGGAGGAAGAGATGCTGAAAACATCTGAAAACGTGCAGCATCTGCAGGCTGAGAATAAGGGTTTGGCTGCAACTTACAGCATATGCAGCATGACAAAACCAGACACAGCCAGTTTAACATCGACGACCCGGCAAGCTGCAATTTCTTCTCGTATTTGGTGGTTTTGAACAAGTAGGCACTCAAACTGCAGCAAACTTCTGCGCTACTGCTGTGCACAGTCTTACAGACTACGTGCAGGACTAAGCTTGCCAAGTGATGAATAACCCCCTCTGCCGATGCTGCTTAATACACAGGATCATACCCCCAAAACTCCCTAAACAAGAGATCCGGACTCCCCAAGGGCACAGTCGAGGGCAGGCTGCTATCGAAAGGCTCCTATCGAAAGGCTGTGCTTTTCGTGGCATGGGAGGTTTCCATGTGCCATCCTAATGCATGCAGTCTGCGCGCATGCGGTCCAACCGTGAGTGGCCAAGGACTGGGTGTTGTGAAGCAGATGTCTCGACTCCATGGAAACAGTCGAGGCCTGCTTTGGGCAATGCTCTGGTTAATGGTATGTTGCTTCAGTGATTCAGCCTGCGCTTGACCACAGTCCGTTGTGCAGCCATTTTTGGAGCACGTACTCGGGCCATGCACTGGTTCTCGCATGATGCCGTCAGCAGGGCCCTTGCACGTTATGCCGTTATGGTAGTAGCTCCGAAGGTTCACAGGGGGGAAAAGCAGCAATCAGGCCTACCCTACTTGCGTGCATGCACAGAAACCGACTGCCCACGGATATGGCATTCGTCAATGACTATAACCAAAGGACCAAACTCACGCCTCGAGGTGGCTAGGTCAACTGCATCCTAAAGCACAGGCAAGCTCACAGGGCCAACACTGTGCCTTCAAGGGATTGAAGCTATTGGGATAGAAGTGCAGGACCAAGCATTCAGCACTGCAGTAGCGATGCACCTACATGATGGTGAGGCACATGATTGCAGTCATAACATGCTAGGAGTTCTCCTGAATGACAAGCGGAGCACAAAAAGCAACCTCAGCCGCCGCCTGGTCATTCCCGGTGGTTGCATGCAGGCGGCCGCCGGGGGTTTGTTCATGCAGGTGTCAAGGCCGTATCTGCACTGCCCTGGGCTCACATTCCTGTCGGAGATGCACCTGGTGTGCTGCCGCGGCTACATGCTCCACATGTCTACGTTGTCTAGCTATCTTTTGGTCGTACGCGAAACTCCATGGCTCGGCCTGTGGCCTGCCTCGTGCGAGAGGCTATATACCTTTCGCCCAAGCCTCATTGTGAAAGCGCTGAAACTAAACCCGCGACAGGAACTGCCAGAGATTGCAGGCATGGACAAGGGCTCAGCCCATGGGAAGAAAGTCACATGCTTGCCGTTGCAGCGGCTTGACATACGGAATTCTAGGATCTGGGCTAGACGGTCTGTGAACTGTCCGCATCATCTGGCCCTCCTAACCCGCCAGCCTTTTTCGGTATATTACTTGGTGCTGGCTTGCTTTGACCCAGCCTACAAGTGACCTGGTGGGGGCAAGGGAAGGGCCGGCCCTGCGGCCCGGCTGAAGCCACGGCCACGCATTCTTGTGCTCTTACAGGGCTTCAGAGAGAAAAAAATCTGACCTCGGCGAGGCTCCCGAGCGTCTTCAGGTGCCCCTGGAAGCTAATCAGCTAATCGTCGTCCAGACTGAACCGAAGCTTCGGAGACAAGCGACTTTGAGTTCGGAGGCCTCTGTTAAAAGCATTCGATCGTCACCTCCACGCATCTCTGCAGCACTGGCCGTAGCCGTGACTTTCGAATGATGCGAAAGTACACCTATACCGTAATACCGATGGCCCAAGCCAACAAACTCTGTTTAAAACAAACTCTTCCAAGCACAAGTTCCCTTCCATCGTCAAACCCCAAACAACACTCTGCTGGTAAGGGCTTGAAACCAATCAATTTCTGGTCCAGCTTCGCGCATCTTGGATCCTCAGGGCTTTGGCAGCTGAAAGATGAGGCACCTGAACGAGAACGCAAAGACAACAGCTGTAACATGCTGTACCTCATCGTCGAGCCGATTCGACTTGTCTGTGCGCATTGACATGCTTTTGTGAGATGACATTTCTCCGTTCTTTTAGACGCATCTTCCACATAGGCCAGTGGCCAGAGAGCCAGACCTTGAGGCATAATCTTTCATTATTTATGGTGCATCAGGAACTTCCGAACAACTCTAACAGGTACTGTACGAAACATGTACCACAGGCCACAGGCAATAAGAAGTGACTTTCGCTAATTTTGGCACCAGAAGCAGTCACAGCAAAATGGATTGAAGCGCATTCGACTCTCATGCTGGTGCCAGGCAGGGAAGGCTTCACGACAACTGGTCCAGTATGACATTGAACGTTTTATTTCGTGATTCAGAGTCCCAGCCACCCCAAGAAACAACAATGTGCGACACGGCTGACGACTGAATCAAGTCACTCCTGCTCTGAACACCCGGCTCAGCCCGACTCTGCGATTCAGGGCCAGTTTAGGGTTGGGGAGGTGCCAGCGCCTCTCTCCATTCCCGGCATTTGTCGAGGCGGTCTTGGAACAGGTCACATGCAGTCTATCGTGCTTGCACGATTTGAGCTTGGTGCGCGCACGATCCAGGTGTCACACCCCAGTCATGAGGCATACCGTAATTTACCAGTATGTAGGTGGTGCCAGAATCTGCTGTCAGTGAAGTGACTAGGGGTGCATGAGAGACAGGACTTGGTCTAAAATGCTCAAGTGGCCCAAGCCCATTCCATGCCCATGATTGCAACGACGACGACGACTACTACTACTGCTACTGCTTCTGCTACTGCTTCTGCTACTGCTTCTGCTACTGCTACTGCTACTGCTACTGCTACTGCTACTGCTACTACTACTACTACTACTACGACCACAACAACTACTACTACTACT